AGCTGAATGGGCCTAGAACAAAATGGGATGATAGAGATGCAGGAAATGATCAGCCGGTAGCACATAAATGAAGAATTCATCTCAAAACTGCTAAAGAACAATAATTTGAACAATACATAGAGTGGACAGCTTTCAGTTCACATGTACAACATAACGAGCAAACCCAAGTGAATGCGTCTGTAATTGAGGCCGAGGTGTCCGTTTATGGGGTGAGATGCACACAGTAACAAAAAAACTGACTTCAACAGAGTGGTGTCCATGATTTAAGTCAGTACAGACCATTTAAAATCAAAGATGGTGCAGGATGTCCTGACCCCTGACTTTGTAGCAGCGTGCTCAATGCTGCCACTTGCCGCCGTAATAGTCTGGACAGCATATAATTCAGAACTGATTCAGGTAATGACCTAATACTCCGGCTGCTACAACCCCCCACTAACAGTAGAAAGGTACATCTTCAATACAGCAGCTGTACATCATGTTGTTGGGGACACTGACAGTAAATACCTGTGCTGATTCTGAAGGCCCATCTGTCAGTCACAAAACATTAAACAGCCTTGTACATCATTATGCAAACCTAGAACACTCTGTGGTCTAATCAGTATTGGAGCATAGTGTTTACCAGTTTTTTGTAATTAACCACTGTAAACTGGCATGTTTTGTTAGCCAAAAATAAACAGGATGACTTATAGAAGGTTGGTTTGAAATTCAAGATCTGACATTTGTCTGGATGACTGACCCTGTGCACATTTCTAGTTGTACTGTTTTGTCACTAGTGTTTTATTGCATTTTATCTGCTTTTGTGTCCCTTGTTTTCTGCAGACCTCTACTGTACAACACACCTGTTTATTAAAATGTCCCATAAATAAACTTGACATGAAGACAATACATCATGAAGATAAAGTGGTACGATGAACAGATGCAGTTTCTCAAGCTATTGAAGAGAAGAATATCTAGATTACAAGATGAACCAGCTCAAATAGCATAACCTCTGGTTCACAAAATGTGAAGCATGTGAAGTCTGCAAGTCTCTAACGCTAGATTTACTGCAAACAGCAAACTTTCGACAGTTCAGGGATCTGCTCTCATTCAATTTTTATGTAGTATCTAAATCCTGTTTTAACATGCAGCAGGTGCTCCAGCAAAAATATATATTACAGTGTTAAATTGCCTATTTCATTTTATAATGTTTGTTTGTACAATGCCACAAAAAGACCAAACCCAACAAAGTCTACCTCTTAGTACTTTTCCGTTCCTCTACTTTGGATGTGGCCAAAAGCCAAATGGTTCCTAGTGAAGGCGCAAAATTTTTAAGGTGGGTCCCAATTATCTAGTTTAATTTCTAAAGGTAGATCAGTACAGAAATAAGTAAAGTGTAGCCTCTAGCAAACATCACTCAAACATGAGTATATTGTACATTTGTTGAGGACTGCTTTCAGCTGGGGATTAATACACATTTAAAAAGTAGTAACTCAGAATGGTATCAACGTCAGTTAATGGCTAATCAGTTCAATCTAAAGAATGTACAGTGCACAGCAGGTCAGCTGAACTTGCAACTAGCCAAGGAGGAATCTACAGGCAGGCATACAGTTCAATACAGTTTTTCCATTATTAACAAACCAATGAATACTTGCTTGTGTTTGAGTGGAGCTTTTCTTTCAAGGACATTCCCAGCACTTATAACAAATTTACATAATTATTTCAGGGAAATGTGCAAGAAACCATAAAGTAAAGTTTTAAGTTCTTCTTTTTTTGTTGTGTGAAGATGATGTATTTTGTAAAACACCAGTGTCCCCTTCACTTATGAAAATAAGACTGGTAATTTTTTTATTTAAACTAAGTGCAACTGGCTGTCAGTTTCTATTTTAATTTAGGTAAAAGCAAAAAGCATTCGAAAGTAAGAAAAACTATTATCTTTGGACATAGAAGCACTCTTGTGTTTATTCTGTAATTCAGTCACTATCAACAGTATCATTTCTTGTTCCTAAATAGCTGGTATTGTGAAGCATCAAATAAAAAAAGGAAAAGAAAAATAGCAGTTAATGCCTCTGAATCAATTTAACATTTCTCATTTTTTTGTGGCAAATATTAATCCCCTCTTCACTGTCACTGACAGACATGCAGCTGGAAGGGTATTAGCAGATAATTGGCTAAAGAGCGCTAATTGTGTCATTTTCCAGTCAAGTTTTTTTTTTCTGGTCTTTGGTGGTTCATTGTCTGTGTGGTTCAGATGGCCTACATTATCAGAGCACATGCATGGCTTTCCATCAAACATGATCAGAGTCATGTCGCTACATGGACTGAACATGCATATCCATGTTCCTCCTTTGATGAAACAGCCATCAACATAACAACCTGAAAAGAAAAAAAGGTGTGGTGTAGAAGCCTTAGCATGTTTAAAAGTCTCAAAGTAATGTCTCTAAACCTACTGATGCTAGCTGTGTGATGACTTTGACTGTGTTTTTGGTGCCACTCAGTGTAATTCATAGTGCTTTCTACAGTGTCATCTGTAGACTATGATACATGTGACCATAACACATCAATGTTCCACCAAAATAAAAATGAAAATGTTTAAAACAGTGTCACAATGTGTGAATTTATTTAATACCTGAAATATGAAAGACCATATTCATTTGTTTACCACGGAAAAGTTATTACCAGGCAATAAAACACATCCATGCACTCAGCAGTTTGCAAATACAGCCTTACTTGGTCTGGTATCACCAATATCTTATGTTAGCAAACTGTAAATAAATATTACTGTGCAACTGATACGAATAAGTTGGTTCATTTTATGACTCTTCTGTACTTGTATAGCACTAGTGTTGCCAAGTCAAAGTGGCTATTGTTCAGAAAAAGTGATATCAGCTTGCTCAAACCCTTGACAGTGTGCATATTATATTGCTTAGCTGTTGGTTTATGATACCTACATATCCCTTAAAGCTATTCAGAAATAATGCATTATAATATTTCACTTCAAGGAGGATGAAATATCCAAAAATACTTTATCTTCAAGCAAACAAGCAGCTCCTAACTAGTAGAGAGCTGAAGTGCTACTATAACAAATCAGTCCAATATACAGTGCACTGTGCTGATTCTCAAATGTATGCATCTTTGTGGGTGAACATGGCCTAAATTAGCAAATACAAAGCAGCTTTTAAAGGCAAAATGACTCTGCCTGCTGCTTCTCAGCAGCAAACACCTACAGCTACCCTCACATCATTTCAGGAAATTATTCAGCAGTGTTATTAAAATTGGCAAAGTATTGCTGACTTCCTCATGTCTTCAATTCCCTGGCTACAGCGAGAAGACTGAGATCTGCATGGTTTCAATTAAACAGAGCTAGATAAAACAGCATTTGCTAAAGCTGTTTACACTGAGTCTGCTTGGAGGGCTCTGTTGTGATTTGGCTGTTGCGGTGGCTCATAGAAAAGTACACAGAATTATTACAACATACTTTTTAAAAACAATTCACCAACTACTTTCTGCAATTAAGGAAAACTCGTGTTACTCTCTCAAAAAACATATTACATTTTAACAGAAATGAGGCAGGTAAATGTGTAAAAAAAAGGTAAACTATTAAAAAAGGTAGTCTCAGACAAGGCAGATTAAACTTCCCGAAAGGCAAACTACGAGGTTACATTAACTTATACTACAGTTTTACTGTGTTTTAACATTTACCAGTCTGCCCCAGCTGAAGCCAAAATGGCCATTGTTCAACAAAAGTGATATCAGGTTGCCTCAACTCTGACAGTATGCAGATTGTATTGCTGAGCTGTTGGTTTATGATACCTACATATCCCTTAAGGCTATACAGAATTAATGCATTATAATATTTCACTTTAAAGAGGGTGAAATATCCAAAAATACTTTATCTTCCATTGAACAAGCTGCTCCTAACTAGTAGAGGGCTAAAGTGCTGCTATAACAAATCTGTCCAACATTTTCCCCTCTTAGCTGACAGAAGGAATAAAAAGATTATTTTTAAATGTGTCAGGCAGCTGAGTAAAAAAAAAACAAATGTGTAATCTTTTATAAAACAGAACATTATGTTAAAAGAGGTTAATTCTAAAATTACTAGTGGGGGAGGCGACAGTGGTGTGGTGGGTAGAGCAGTAGTCTCCCAACCAGAAGGTTGAAGGTTTGAGTCTTGGTGCTGGCAGTCCACGTGTTCAAGTGTCCTTGGGCAAGACACCGAACCCCCCCCCGTTGCTCCCGATGGTTAGAGCCATCGGTTGAGGTGGTGCCGCAGATGGCTGCCATCGGTTCTGTACCGGCAACAAATTTCTTGTGTATAATATACTTGGCCAATAAAAGTGATTATCCTATAAGATTTTTAGTGATTTTACAAGTAATTACACATTAGATTTTATATATATGTATACACATACATGTATACACACACACAAAGGCTCGAATATTATTTGGGAGTGGTACAAAGAAATATGGACATTACATTAGTTCCACTACATTTCAGGTTTACCTGTGTCATATTTCAGGGTATATAGAAAGCATAATGCTTAAAATGTTACAATAAATACTAAAATACAGGGTGTTCTCAACTCTAGACTGCTAGTGTATTTGTAGATAGACATGAAATAGATAAGTTGTTCAGACAGTATTTCCACAGCACAACCTAGTGAGCCCTTCAAAACCAAATTGAATCGGGCCATTTTATAGCCATATTATGCTTTTGACTAAATCGTTATCTCCAGTAAGCCTGATCCACAGTTCCTGGATTATTCCTGCAATATGATTCACAGCCTAAGCTATATGGATTTTGAGCATGAAATATGGAAGAAACCTGTTAAAGCTATTGCTGTCTATCTAGTTAAAACATATGCAAAGGTCTTCTTAGCTGTGCTGAGGCAAATAAGCAGCTAGACAGCCAGGGCACTC